GGGCTGCTCTCCAGCCACTCCTCCCCAAGCAAATATGATCAAAGGATAAAGAAAAATGCGAGCTACAGCGAGACTGAAATGTAGAAGATGGTGGAAGGAGTGAAAATGTAGGAGATCCAGAAGCGTGGGAGATGGGATGGACAGAAGCACCAGCGCAAAGTGCTGCGGTAAAGCAGCACATGTAGATTTAAAGACATTTTCTGTGCGAGGGGAGGTAGCAGGAAGAGAGAAGGTCTAAAGCACAGAAGAAAAACCCTGAGAATAAATGCACACTGAAGAGTCGGGTCACAGCCGAGAGTAAGAAATGGGCTGTCTCCTGCATGATGAACACCGCAATTCATTTGCTCCACTGAGGAATGACAGCTAATTATTCCAAATTTCCACGTCATAAATAATTTACGTGCACAGGCCCAGAATACACCATTAATCAGGAAGCGCGCAAACTGCATTCTTTAAAATTACGCAATACCCACGAATGGACTGAAAAGCCTAAGACTGAAAGGGAGCCCTGGTGCGTGCTCAAAGAACAGGAGATACTCTTTAAACAGATCACTGCAACTGCTTGTTACTTCAGCCCTCTCACAGGAACTTAAAACCATACGAACATTAAAAAAAAAATATAATCCCTACCCCCCTTTCCTTCACTACCTTCATCCATTCACTTCAGCTGTCCCCAACCTTCCCATCATTCCTTCTCTCCTTTTCCACTTTTTCAGCAACAAAGGCCATCTCTCCAATTTTATCTAGTACTGCATCAACTCCGTCATTGCCAAAGCCATCAGATCCAACATCACCACCTTTCAGTCACCTTCAGTTTATCTTCCTAAATGCAGCTGCACACCTCCAAGACAGACACTCCTGCCCAACTCCTCCACTGATTCCTCATGTGCTCCATGAGTTACCTGTAAATTCCTACAAAGAATCCTAGAGCTCTCCACCATGGCTCATGAGTGTGTTTCTCCACACAATCTCATCCAATTTACATTTCCTTTGTACTTCTTTACACACGATACCAATGCTGCTGTCACAAGCATCACTGCCTTTACATTCTGCCATCCAAATTAATTTTTTTTTAATCTTTACCTCATTCATAACTCTAAAACCCATTTCAATTTTAGCTCAAGACACTTTATTTGCTTTCTTTCCTGTAGCAAACGACACTCATAAAGCCACAACATATGTGGTGACAACACCAACTGTTTTCAGCAGACGTCGATGGTGCGTGCATACATGCTGTAAAGGAGTTCACAAGTATAGACCAACGGAGCAGGAAGATTTTTATGACTGGTTTAAATACAACAATACTTACCTGATGACATTCTTGAACAGGGTAATTAGGCTGAAAGTCTACTTCTTACATCCTAACAGCTGGGCTAGCTGTACAGGGGCACCAGACATCTTACAAGAGGGATCACCCTGGCATGCCGATAAACTCAAGACCAAGACCTAAACCTGTGCGCAAAGCTACCTGGACTAGCCAACATGCCCTGCTGGCAGTCATGACAGATCCTGGCAGACATAAAACAGCATTACACCTCTGGAAAAGTTACTCTGATTATAATGAAGCAGTGTGCGGCACCATCCATGCCAACACTTTCGAGTGAAGTGCTTAAAGCCAGGTTTTGACAAGAACTGAGCTACAAGCCAGGCTCTTGCTAACTTCAACATACGGAATAGGTGCCTGTAAAGCACATCATTAGACTGTGTAAGTCAAGGTACTTCATATAAAAATTCTCTACCTTTCCTGAGACATGACGAAAACAGGAGGTGCGAATGGAATACAACGCTGAAGAAATCAACAAAACTGTGAAGCTTTAGCTGAGGAATAAAACAGAAAGATGTGTAGCGGGTCTGTGCAGAGGCTTTGGGTGGCATAGCCAATGCTTCGGAGCAGAATGAAGCAACAGCGTTTTACGTACGTTAATACTGCCCTGGCTCTATAGGATTGTGAGGTAGCCACAGAAGAGTTAAAGAATTAAGTCATGTTTCCTTGTGAGGCTCCATTAAGCAATAAAAGTGAGTCTTGTGTAAAAGGATTTTTAGTTCATCATTACAAGTGCTGGTAATGAAGAGGATGCATGCTGGAAATGTCAGACGATCCATAAAGAACGACTGCTGCAAGATTTATCACTCTCACATCACACTGCTCCATCACTCCACCTGAATAATGAATGCTTTTTACATTCACATTTGTGTACAAAACCCATTTGCACAACAGAGAAATAACTCTGGCGGCAGACAGAGATTCTTCCTAATCTCTCATCCAGGCTCTGGCTGGGCTGCCTGCGCTAAATAGCTGCGCAGTTAACAAATACATCAATGCTAAGCAACGTATCGCTGCTACATCACCTTCCCCCGTACCACACTCCCAACTGGCACCCAGCTGACTTCTGTACGAAAAAAGAAGCAAAAGCACAATTTATTTTGCAATAACACACTACAGTGATGCGGCATTAACTAACATTAAGATTAATTGCTCTGAGCTAATGAATCATCCATTACTAATCCCTCAGATGAGGCTGTGCAACTAAACAACAAGTTGTAGCTGGGCTCTTATTAAAATCTTTGCAGTCTTGCCTTGCAGTCATGGTCACAAAGAGATGTTTATTAATTTCTACAAGAGATTTCTTGATAGGAAAAGCGAAATATTGTAAAGAAAGACGAATCAAATTAGAGATGAGCAAGTCAACAATGTGTCAGCTTCCTTCTAGTTACCACGTCCCTTCACACGCCTGCCATGCAGTACTTTCAGTAAATGAAGCCTTCAGGTAGTTTAGCCCTGACTGCGGGTGGGTAAACGTCCTAGGCTCTGCCCAGGGTAAAAGCACACTCCTAAAGAGTACAGGCAGATCTGGTAATCGCAACTTGTTTGTGTGTCAAAGCACTGAGATAGTACCTGAGAAGACATCCAAATGACACGGCTTCCTGCTGTGTTTGTTGGAAATGAAAGCGAGAACATCACCTCCAATCTCAGCTACTTTATGATCCCATACAATGTTTTTCTGACTAGTTGAAGCCTTTTTCTTTTCCCTTTTTTTTTTGGCTCCTGTTCACAAACATTCTCTACAGGTAAAAGGCCCTTACCAGCTTCCATCTCTGCTCTGGAATAGCACTGATATCCACAGGATGACGCTCTATTACACTGAGAAAACGGGCCTCAGGGACAGCAATAGCACAGATTACATGGATCCACCTGGAAAAAAAGTTAAGAGAGAAATCAGAGTCTACCATTGTTTGAATTACATACTCAAGAGGGCAGTTAACATTTCTCTGACTGCCTCAGTATCAAGGCGTATTTCTGGTGGTCGGCAGCCGTGGCAACATTACTAATCCATCGTTCATCACGGTCGCACAAGGTAATGTCTCTGGAACAACAGAGATCAACTTTCTTACGCATCTGATCTTCCATGATACTGAACATTCTCTGAAAAGACTTTTCTCTGAGAATGAACCAAATTTAACAGTGTTCAGACCCACATTGCCCCTGCTACTGAAAAGCCTGTTGCAGAGTGTAAGACAGCACAGTTACTCAAGCTCATCCTGCCAATTTAGTGAGTAGCAGTTACCTGCATACTGCCAAAATTAGCTGTTACACTGAGCATCAAGACCAAATTCACACCACCAGATCATCAGATGCAGTATGGAAGGACAAACTACTTAAAAACATCACTTACCGCCCATCAGTGGTCATCTGAAGAGCTCCTCCCCTGAGATTACAGAGGCAGCATTCCTGTAGGAACAGAACTACTTCAGAACTGGACCAAAAAGCTCTGCTACACTGCCTATCTTTCCCCAAAAATGACAACATCACATCTGGGACGCAAAGGCAAACTGTACCTTCCCACCACCCATCACCCTTGAAGTATCTAATTCATTCCCACATTAAATTTTCTTTTGCCTCCAGAACGATAGATGCTTACCGCTGCCCATGCATTGGCTGAGCACCGTGAGCAAGACCAACTCTCATTCACCAAGTCTGGACGTATTCCGTAACAGCCTGAAAGAAACAAAGTTGTATCTGTCAGAGTTTTGCTAACCTATCTCTAGTATGGACTTGTTGACTTTCCAATTCAGAAGCATCTTTGAAATCAGGTGTAGCATTCAAGTAACTATATTCAATAGTCCAGGCTCAGGCAAAAGTCATAAGGAAAGTCATCTTTAGGAAGCGGGGAAGAATTTGGGACCAGCAGGTCTAAAAATGAACAAACAAAAAACCCACACACAGGTAACACTCAACGATTTTTTTTCTGTTTTGTAAGGACAAGAATAGCAGTACTTTGATTCTCAGGCAAGAACTGGGCTCAAAATGATGCTCTGACTGCTGGAATGTACTCACACATGAAAAGAGGCAGGACCACTGAATTTTAGCAGGATTGACGCAGCTACCTTTGCTAAGTGGTATTATGAGGAAGGACAAAACCAGTAATACTGCAAGGAAATTAAATACATGCATTTCACGTGTTTAACAGTACTTAAAGTAATATTAATTTCTGGTTATGCGAAGTGTTATATGAAACATCTGATTTTACAGAGCATCAGCTACTGTAATATGCAAGCACCAAATCCTCTTGCATACTTCTCTGCAGCACCAAAACAGTAAAGTGGTACTATACTTTATAATATACATTATAAAGACATGGATATAAGACCAAAAAAGCCCTTAAAATTCTGTAAAAGGCAATGAGGTTTGCCACTGAAGACAACGGGAGAAAGACATAGAAATAGCTTTGGAAAAAGTGGATCTCCACGATTCCCACAAGTTTGCCAAGTGAGCGGAGAATTAAACATATCGCAAATTGCTGGCGAGCATCCTAACACAAAGCTCATCCCATGGCCTTTACCGATCCTAACAAAACTGAACATAAAATTTCAGCTGGAGAGTCTCCAATTACTGAATTAAACTTAAAAGAAGTTATTCAGAAGGCACTGAGATTGCCACAGCAACCTGATTTATAAAAATCACCCACTTAACCAGATAAACATTATGTCAAAAAAAGTCAATAATATAGATCCACAGCTGTCTTCCACATATGAAGTCTCTTTTCACCATATGGCAAATCAAGAAAGCGGATTCAGCCCAGTCCTAGAAAATGGGCAGAGGTGTTGAGTCTAAAAAACTGATCTGGAAACTGAGCTAAAAGAGAAACTGAAATACCGGGGGAGCTCAAAACGGTGTAGACCAGGCTGAGATTTCAGCATTGATTTCTTGCTTCCGGACCACGGGGAGCTGGACTATGGGATCTGAGGGGAGAAACAGTCGCACTTACTGACACCAGACTGTCCCGTAACGACGACTGTAACGGACCAAGAAAAGCATGCTCTGTTTATGGATTTTGTTAACACCTCCACAAAAGCTTTCTTCTCCGTACGCTCCTGCTGTTGTCATAACCTAGCGCAGCTGGGGGTGGCACTTCTCAACGACAAGCAGCCTGCCAACTGGTTTTACAGCATGCTGCCAGATTAACCACAATACACCTCAACACCGCAGTCCTATAATAAAAGCAAATGGATTCTCTGCAGCAAAGTCGAAGGGATATCACAGTCTAGAAGTACAAACAGCGACAAGGAAACAAGATGACACCGGAGACCACATCAGGCTAGATTTAACTTCTGTCCTATCCCCAAGGGCAGAGCACAGCCAAAATAGAAAGCTAAATTTCTCTACACGCTGTCTGAGACTGCAGATTAACATCATCTTGCCCACATCCTTCTGTCCCTAAATAGAATCTGGTCACTGAAGCCATTTTGACAGACTGGACCATTGAAGACATATGGACATGCAAGATGCAGTATCTCTGTTCTGATTGCTACAGAGACCACAATTTGTGCAAGTAGGAAAGCAGTCTTCGTCCTCACGCTCACTCTTCTTATTAGCCAGAAGTGACCATAATCACAGATGCACTACAGAAATAAAAGTTGCATTCTAGTTCTCCACAAGCGATAGTCACGCCGAGCTGCACGGTGACCTGCAGACTATAAAATTAGAACAGCAAAAGTAATTCCAGCTGATGCAAGTCAAGTAAGATTTCCCATCTGTCAAGATGAAACAGCTGAAGAGTAACTCATCACAACTCCTAGTACAAGTGCAAACGTTAACTAGATGTGGTACAATCCACAGTGAAGGTACCCTCTGCCAGGATTAATCAGATCTTCTTTTAGACATAACTATCAGGGAAACGAACAGATATATGTTCCTTTTTGTAATCAAGCGCCATTCCTACAAACAGTAACACAGACGCTGATAAAAGATACCTCAGAAACTACTCCATAATCTCTGATGCACACAAGAACAATACAACCTTACCCAGCAGACCAATATTTGAACAAGCGAAAAGAGTGCAATCAGCTTTGTGATTTCTGCTTTATTACAAAAAATGAAAGATAACAAAGAAAGGATCTTTTCTGTGAGACAGAGAAGAATCAGCCAACAAAACAAACAGTAAAAGGAGTATTTGTGTGTATTTTTAAGATCATTGGCTGCCAAGATGGACTCGAATATACAGACATTCTAGTACTAGGAAAGGAAAAAGTGTGAGTGACAGGTATAGCAAGCATGCCAAGAAGGAATTCGAATATAGGCAACACACAGAGAAATCTGTGAGTCTCTCAATACCCAAAAAGCATTTTGGTGAAGAAGGAAACACTCACTCGCATGAACCTGCAGGCAGCATTTGGCACAGGATATCAAGGGACTGGTTCCATCCTCTCCGATATATGAATTTGAAGGAAGGGGCTCTGTGTTTTCTCCACTTGAGGTAAAGCACATCTCCGGGATCAGAGGCTTGGTCTTTTGTCCGCATTTAGAAAGGTGGACGAAAGAGGTGGTGTCCCCTACAGAGACTGGGACAGCTTCTTTATCCATCTGTAAGGACTTAAAGAGCAAATACCGTCATATGGAATCGCCTCTTCCCTGGTAACAGTTTAAACTTTAAAGTCAAAGCACTCCCCTCGCAAAAAAAGTCATCCAACTCCTGATGCCATGCAGTACAAATAATGAGCTTTAAATGCTGCCTGCTCATTCACACCCCCACCCCATCCCTTTTGCTCCTCTCTCTCTTCCTTAGGCCTATAAATCTGTAATTTATTTCAAAAGCTCAAAGAAGCATGACAGTAATGAGCAGCTTTCCCTGTTTCTCCTCTGTAAAAATCTAAACTCCTAAATTGCAGCTGAAAACACGAAGAGGGAAAAAAAAAAAAGGGAAAATATTAATAAAAGCAAGACCTTCCCTCCCCCCTCCCATCCTTTTGGCGTCCTTCCCCTAATCTTTCTGCAAGAATTTCTCCTGAAGGACATTTCAAGGTTTCTGGTAGCAGAGTTAAAAACAATGGATTAAACAGCCCAGCTGTACCCAGTTTTCCTTACAACCATTATACAACAACATCCAGCAATCAGAACAGCTATTTTATTTCTGGTCTGTATAATAAATCAAGGAGGTTTTATTGAAAGGGGAGGTGGGTTCTGCTTTTCTCAGAAAAAGCTTCCAACACATATATATGCGTCTAAGCCCCATATTCCTAGTGGACACACAAAGCCAGATTTGGCTCTATATGCACACAAGAACAAATCAATACACAATTGGGCAAATAACTAATTCATCTGATAAATTTTGCCTTTCTGCTCATAACATATCCCAAAGCATATTGGTGGTTTCCAAAAAGTGATGCTTGTGCTCACTCAGTAGATTTTTATTTTGTCGCTCGTTTGCATATATTCAGAAATCTGGGCCCATATCTAAACGAGAGCGATCACATACCCAGTACGGCATCGTTTCTCTGCATGAAATAGCGTTTGCAGTGCGAAGCTCTTTCAGCGCGATTTAAAAAATGAAAGCTGAGAAAAGCCAGAGACGCCAGGAAAGATAACAAAAAAGGCTCCATCCGCTCTCTCTGCCAAATCCAAGCACACTTCTTTGGTGTGCAGATTTTTATGAGTCTTCGTTCTTTATTATAAAGGTCTGCATCATAACTTACACAGTAGCCACCATTCAGCACCCACCACCGACACATCCACCCGAGCAGCATCAGGAATTACCTGGTTATAGGGGTAAAAGAGGGTACAGACAGCACAGTATGGCTCACTCAGGGCCGCAGCTGCATTGAATTTTCTTTCAGCTGGGAAATTATGTGCTTTGTTCTTCCACTGGAGGGAAAGTAAAGATTTCAAAGCCTCTGGGTCACTCATATCTTCCTCCCCAGAAAATGGAAATGTTTCTGGAAAGAAAAAAAATCCCAAAACAAGGAACAGTCAGTCTTTACTGAAAAACAGTCTACAGAGAGTACAGGCAAAACACAGCCAGGTAGGGTTAAACAGCTAATGTTTCAACAACAGAAGAAGTCCGATAAATAAGAACATCCAACTCATCCAAAGTTCTTCATACGTGCATGCCTCAAATACCTCCTTTAATGGACAGAATCTCCACTTTATGGATAGGATAGACAAGATGGAGACACTGATGACCTGACGGAACTGGCCATGAGGAAGAAGAAAAGAGAATCTAGAGTTACTGCCTTGGTAACTCTCTCCACTCTCCAGCTGTGGAAACCTACAGCATTCTTTTAATGAAGCCAAGTTCAAAATGCTTGATGCAAGCGCAAGGAAATCTCCCTTTCCCTTCTCCAGCTGGGAGCTGCGCTCTCTGAACGACGCGCACGCAGCGCGTGCCGGTTTGGCTAGGCCAGCTCCCAGCTCCCCGGCCAGCAGCAAGCCTGTTTCAACCTTCCCAAAGTGCATCCCATACCTGTTCCTGCAAACACAAATCTTGGCCATGGGATTTCTGGGGTTCAAGTTTTACACTTCACTTTTCTGCAGCTGCTTCACAGCCCCTTCCATCAGGTGTACACCACTAAGCCTTCCATTTGCATTCACCACCACCTTTTCTTCTGCCAGAGCTCTGGTAGATGCTAATTAGTTTGCTAATTCTTTGTTTCTACTAAACCTTTGTTTCTACTAAACCTTTAAAAGGCCCTTGGCATTTTTTGATTAAAGCACCACAGAATCCATTTGTGTCAGTCTGGGGGTCCAAGTTTCTTATAATTCCTTATTAAGGAATTCTGAGGCACTATAAGTGTTAAAGAAATTTTCCATGCAAGACTAAGTGTAAACCACTCACCGCACTGTCAATCTGCAAAACTCTGGCCAGGGGAACTCAAAAACATCTTAGTGGAACATTATTCCCCAAAGCTCAGTACATTAAACCAAATTGTTCACTGCTTCCCTGTTAGTTACTGGAAATACGCAGTTAATGTTCTGCTCCCAACAAGTCTAAGTCTCCTCCCCATTTCTACCTCCCTTTTAAGATCTTCAGACTCTCAGGTTACCAGGAATGATAAAGGAACTTGTAGTAAAATACTAATGCCTAAGTTTACATCTCAGATTCTAAATGTTCACCCCAACTAATATGATATCTATTTTCCAGACGTGGGGAATTTTATTGTCTTTAACTAACCAATCCTTTTTAGAGATGACGAACGATATCTGTGTATCTCTGTCATGCTTCAAATGAAGGTTACTTCCTAAAAAGTGTCTTTGCTTTCTTACTATATTTTTATCTCAGACTAAAACTGGTGTCCGTAGGCTAACAATAATTGCTAATACCATCGCCTTTTCCACAGCTCTACATAGGATTCTGCTGGAAAGGGAGACAAGTAGGAACAGCCTTGCCAGCGGGCGAGTTAGGCTTCCCTTCCTAGAGGAAGACGCTGCTCGTGCCAGGAGCCGACTGCCAGCTCAGCATCTATCAGACCAGAGCCAGCCCCCAGAACAAAACAGATTTACAAAGACATGTTCTACAGTCTTAACTTCAGCTACACGTGCTTACATGTCCGCGCCTCGTATAAGGCACAACCAAAATTTAAAAAGACCAGTGAGCTCGGGTATGCAGATCGATACTTTCAAGATGTCTTACTTTCAAAGCAGAACTCAACCCTCACCTTTTGACGGTATCAAGCACCTTTAACAACGTTCTAAGACGTAAGCCAAAAACCAAACCACATGTTCTATCCAAATTTTAGTCACGGCACATCAGAAGACACGCAAGGATTTATGCTACCAGTGAAACCAATGAAACTAGTGTCATAATCCAGACTGACAGACAGAGAAAAAAAGGAAATTCCTGTTGCATGTTATCATCACCTTCACTCATCCCCGGATGGGTTCTAGGTGAGACACGGAACAGCTCCTACATTTCAAGCAAGTTACAGACAAGTAGAAAAGGCTAACAATTTGTCTCAGCTGAATCTTAGTGGAGCATATGCACTCCCTTAATTCACATGCTCACTCTTCCTCACTGCAGCCTCCAGATCATCCTTACAGATTAGCCCCAAAAAGCAAGGAGTGCAGAGAGCTGCTTCTACTCCCTGGCAGGGAAGAGAAGAATCTGTTTGATCAGATTTTGCCCAACAGTGCTGGAAATCAGTCCCCAAGAAACGGCAGCTTTAACAGAAAGTTGCTCCCGAGTCAGACAGCACAGTCCCTGTACACCATCCAAAAAGTCAAAACAGCGAAAAGAATCTGTCTAACGAGGGTCCTTTGGCACAGAGTTTGTTGCAAGGTCTCGCACCAAAAGATAACTTAGTCTCAGCTGCCTTTCAGTGCTTCACATTACACACATGCCAGACATCAAACGCATCACCCTTGGTAAGCAAATGGAGCTACGGGGGTAGGGGATATCCCTTCCGACACAAAGCTTCTCTAAAATCAGTGGGTATATTCTCTGAAGGAAAGTGAACAGGAAGGACGTTGTCCTTCTGAATATAAAGTTCTAAGTAAAAAAATAGGGACTGCCAACTACACCTTCACGTACCTGCCCCAGCACGCAAAACCTTCTTACTGCGGACTTTTCCGAGTAGTTTATAATGTGAGCAAGACTCACAAGTGGTAAATTACACCACACAAGAGAAGTGAGAGGTAAGAGTCTTTTTTTTTTCCTCTAGACTGTTATGGCATTCAGAGTGACTGGAATGTGGGAAAAGAAAAATGTACAGCTAAGCACTGGGAGACTTTCTAATTCTCATTTCCAGATCTGCCAAGAAAAGTTGGACCCCAACATTTGTGTGAATTAAAAAGCCAACCAGAGAGTT